AAAAGGCAGACTTACAGAGAGGAGACACAAAGAAAGATCTTCCATCTGCTGGTTTATTCCTCAAATGATTGCAATGACTAGTGCTAAGCCAGTCTGAAGTGGGAGCCAGGAAGAAGCTCCTGGCTCCCACAGGGTCCCACAGGGTCATTCTCCACCATTTTGCTAGGCCATAACAGGAAACTGGAGCATAAGTGGAGCAGCCACAGAGCGTTGCCTGTGTTGGATGTCGATGCTTGAAGGTGAAGAGTTAGCCTGTTGATCCATCGTGCCAGTCCCCAAAAGTGTTTACACAATGGTCAATGGTGTCTTCAGTGAGTAAATGAAATTAGCTTCATGTTATGCTTAACATTTTTCATCCAGTAGAAATTTATTATTATTAAATGGGATCATGGGGCCAGCCTTGGCACAGTAGATTAAGCCAATGCCCAGACACCAGCATCCCATAAGAGCACGGTTCAACTCCCACCTGCTCCACTTCTGATCCAGATCCATGCTGTTGCACCAAGGAAGGCAGCGGTATTTGTGTGGTTTCCCACATGGAAAGGACCTCACTGCTGGCTTCAGCTTGGCCCAGCCCTGACTTCTGTAGCCATTTTGGAGTGAACTGGCAGGTGGAAAATGTCTTTCCTTTCTGTGCAAATCAATTCTGTTAGTCTGCCTTTCAAATAAATAAGTTTTTAAAAATTATTTTAAAGACAGATTTACAAAGAGAAGGAGATATAGAGAGGAACATGCAAGGTAAGGATTCAGCCACGGAGCCATCATGCCGGGGCCCTATAGTAAGTTCTTTAAAAAACAAACAAATTGTATCGTTATGCTTTCCAAGCCCTATCTAAAATGCTTTTGATAGTTGCCTTTTTCCTCAAAGTCTAAACTCCTCACTTGAACATTAACATATTCTTTTTTATTCCTTAGAGATTTTTTTGAGAGGTCAAAGGTGGATACCTTGTTTAGTGTTTTTGCTAATCCGATGTTATTTCTCAACAACTTAGACATTTCTTAGCCAATGAAGAAATTAGGTGAATGCTGAGAATTAAGTTCATTTGATTGGTCCTGGATGAGACCGTGGCGTTGAGTGATCCTCTTGATCGTTCTGTGTTTTCTAACTAGTAGTGTATGCCTTTGCATGTGCAAAAGCAGAGCCCAGATGTGAGCCGGCTTCTTCTAGCTGTTCACCCAATGAAGCCTGGGAGTGCTTCCTTTTGAATTTATCAGTGAAAACTTAAAAATTTAAAAAAAAAAAATGGAGGCGGATTTTATTGTGTGGGGCGCTGGGTTTCTTTTGCAGTGGATGCACAAATAACTGCATTTTTTTTAATATATAAGATTTATTTTATTTTATTTTTATTGGAAAGGCGGAAATACAGAGAGGAGAGACAGAGAGGAAGATCTTCCGTCCGATGATTCACTCCCCAAGTGAGTGCAATGGCCGATGCTATGCCCAGCCGAACCCAGGAGCCTCTTCTGGGTCTCCCACACGGGTGCAGCGTCCCAAAGCTTTGGGCCGTCCTCGACTGCTTTCCCAGGCCACAGGCAGGGAGCTGGATGGGAAGTGGGGCTGCTGCGATTAGAACCGGCGCCCATATGGGATCCCGGGCGTGCAAGGCGAGGACCTTAACCACTGCACCACCGCACCGGGCCCAACTGCATTCTTTTTAAGGATGATCAACCTGGGCTTTGCTTTGCTTTGCTTCTTAGTCATGTTTTGTCAGCTGCTTTTATAGGAATTCTATTGAGCCAACTATTTGTTTCCAAGTTCACTCATGGCCCTTCATATGATCCTCCAGAGTAGACTGTCCTTGTTGAAGCACCATGCTAAGATAAAGTTTGTCTGATTGGATGGATCTTGGTACAGTCCAATAGTGTTTTCTGCTACCGCTGTACTGTTACTTACTGGGATGCAACTTCTTATTACAATCTACAGCAGGGCCGGGCTTGGTAGCCTAGTGGTTAAAGTCCTCACCTTACACGCTCAGGATCCTAGATGGGTGCCGATTCTAATCCTGGCAGCCCCACTTCCCATCCAGCTCCCTGCTTGTGGTCTGGGAAAGCAGTCAAGGACAGCCCAATGCTTTGGAATCCTGCACCCGTGTGGGAGACCTGGAGGAAGTTCCTGGCTCCTGGCTTCGGACTGGCTCAGCTCCAGCTGTTGTGGCCACTTGGGGAGTGGATCATCGGATGAAGGATCTTCCTCTCTGTCTTTCTTCTTCTCTATATATCTGACTTTTTAATAAAAATAAATAAATCTTTAAGAAAAAAGAATTCAAAAAAAGAAAAAAGAATTCTATAGCAATCTTGTTTTGTTTTCATAACACCGCAAGGATCAAATACAGAGAATATAGATTTTGCCTCTGAGGTTACTTTAATGCAGTTGACATTTTCATGTGCACTGTGTTTGGGATCCAACACCACACCACATTTTAAAAGCTCGTGCCTGGGCTTTCTTTCCTCTGTGTTTTCTTTCATGTTCTTTTACGTTGCCTTGTACCTGAAATGAACCTGAACTTGTTGCACTTCCCTGGGCTACTCAGGTGGTGAGTCTGTAGGGAACCATTATACTGGTAGTGTATCACTACAAATGATAAATATACATTGCTAAGGAAAGTAACATTTTTGTTACTTAACTTTGTTTTAAAATTTATTTATTTTTTATTGGAAAATCAGATTCACAGAGTAAAGGACAGACAGAAACATCTTCTATCTGCTAATTCATTCTCCAATTGGCCACAGTGGCTGGAGCTGAGTCGCTCCAAAACCATGAGCTTCGGGGTCTCTCACATAGGTGCAGGGCCCCAAGGCTTTGGGCTCTCCTCACCTGCTTTCCCAGGCCACAAGCAGGGAGCTGGATGGGAAGTGTAGAAGCCAGGATTTGAACAGGTGGCCATATGGAATCCCATCGCATGCAAGGTGAGGACTTGAGTCACTAGTCTGCTGTGCTGGGCCCTGTTACTTCACTGTTTTTTAACTACCTTTAAAAAGCCAGAAAGAAGTATGGTCTCAGAGTTTCCAATTTTTTAACAGCTTCTTTCACTGAACCTACTAATGTAAGTTTGTGATATTGTTAGTGCAATAATAATTGTGGGAAAACAAAGAGACATAGGTGCCAAAGTGCTTTTGTACAGAGATCTGATTGAACGTTAGGTAGTTCTGTGGAACAGGGCTCCGTGGGAGCACAGCTGTGTTCTCCATCTCTGATGGAGACAGATTTCCCTGCGTCATTCCCCGTGTCTGTTAGAGCCTGTCCCACTGGGCTTGGCTTCCATCCCTCCTGCCTGGTGCCCCTGCTTTGTGCTCAAGCCCCTCAGCTCATCAGGACAGAGCCCGAGCATGGCTCCTATTCTACCCGCCTTGTGCTCTAGCCAAGCCTATTGTTTCACCACTTTCCAAAACATTACCCTCTGCCCTGCCTTGTGCACTCCAGCTCATCCTCTCACTCCAGCCCGCGATGGCAGGTTCCCTGGCTTCTCCTACGTCGGGGTCATTCCTTCCTCCTGCTTGAGTAACAGCATCATTTGAGGCTCACCTTTTATGCCTTCCTCCAGAGACTGGATCATCATGAGGCTGTGGTTCAGTGTTCAGATATGGTGAGCCCTGACCAGGTTGTTCTTAGGTGCTCGGGGAATGAACAGCAATATAATATGGTTCTTGGATAAATCAAGACTTCTTTTTAAAAGAGAAGCCCTGCCATTCAGCTTTTACATCCTGTTCCGTGTTTATCCCACTGTCATGTCTAGTTCTTAGGGAGAAACCATGCTGTCTCGTGTTGAACAAGTATTAGCTTTACTGGAGAGAGAAGGAAACATTAGGACTGGTATGTCTTAGGAATTCCCAAAAAGGAAGACTCAGGCCTCATCTCACCCAGCAGAAGGAGCCTCAGCATTGGGTAGCAACTCTGGGAAAAAGGTTACAGATTCTCTGGGTGTAAGAAATGGAACTTCAGGGCCTTGCACGCCCGGGATCCCATATGGGCGCCGGTTCTAATCCCGGCAGCCCCACTTCCCTTCCAGCTCCCTGCCTGTGGCCTGGGAAAGCATTCGAGGACAGCCCAAAGCTTTGGGACGCTGCACCCGTGTGGGAGACCTGGAAGAGGCTCCTGGCTTCGGACCGGCATAGTATTGGCCGTTGCGCTCACTTGGGGAGTGAATCATCGGATGGAAGATCTTCCTCTCTGTCTCTCCTCTCTGTCTCTCCGCCTTTCCAATAAAAAAATAATAAAAATAAATCTTTAAAAAAAAAAAAGAAATGGAACTTCAGGTATGTTTATAAACATTAGTATGTTCAGTTTGGTTGTTTCAACTGTAAAGTTCTCCTGGCGTGTGGAAGCACTTTTTAGGGAGTTTGGTCACAGAGGGAGATGACTGCAAAATCACAAATATTGTTGACTTAAAGATGTTGTATTGCTTTAATCATTTAAAAATGCATGGATTTAAGTGATTGTAAGGTGCTGATCATGGGTGGGAAGGTGTAAGTTCATTTATGGAGCACTTTGACTCTCCCAGCCCAGGCCTTGTCTTGAGCAGGCCAGGCAGTGTTGGAAGGAAAGTCACAGCCAAATGCTCGGCTTTTGAGTTTACACGTGTATTCCATCTCCTAGCTTCTTTTTGTTTCATAAGAAAAAAGAATCCTGGCATATTTACAGGGGCTGATTTATGAGTGCTTCATAAATTGGAAACTTGAAACTTTAAAACATGACAGTGCTTTATATGCAAACATGATTTCAGATTGATATTTAAATATTAGACCTCATTATGATAATGAGCCAGATTCCTAGTGATAGTAAAACTTTAACTGACTGTTTATTAATGTGTATAGTGTTTATGCAGCCTGAAGGCTCTGAAAGGGGTATAGTTGTTTGTGTTTGTTGTTATGTCTATTTCAGATGTATAGAGTCTGTCACTGCGTGGAAGTTCATGTACACTCTGTCATTGAAGTGCCTTTTGATGCTTGCCACCAACACCCTAACAGACCTCTGCTTGTTCTGTGTGTTTTATTACTTATAGGTCCTGTGGTCTTTGGAACTGGGTCATTGGATTTCTGAGGAACCGTTTGAACTGTTGAACTACTTTCCTGCAGCTCCTGTAAGTCAGATGTTTTATGACTCATGACACATCTGGTGTTCTCAGGAAATAACCGTGCTTGTAAGGATAAGCTCATCTTCTTAGGAAAGAGTAATAATGCCATTAAACAAAGAGACGTGCGACGAACTTAATACCTTTTATCTGTCTGCTTGTGACAGACAAAGTGAGAGAAGTGGTGAGTAATGAAGGCTCGAGAAATGTTATAGTTGCGTCAGGATTGAGAAACACAAATGTGGGGAAAAAAAGATTTTCTTAAAAAGTCTTGTCGTGTCTTGTTTGCTATTTAAAAACTAACGCTTTGCTATGGATGCGGACAGAGCCAATGGGTATGAACAGGACTACTTGCCAGCCTTCTGACAGTATCTTTATATGTTGATGTGTTTTCTCGGCTTCACTTCAGGTTTACTACTGACCTTTAAGTATTCCCAGTGCCTAATGGAAAAGTTCCAGGTCTTAGCTTTTTAAAGGATTCAGTAATAATTCAGTGTATAAATTTTAAGATCTGGCTGGATGCAGGAATTTGCAGAAGTTGGCTATATTTTGAGAAATGTGAACTGGCTTGTGGCAGGGCTTGTTCTTGGAGAAGTCCTATCAGAAAGATGAGGGAAGCTGGCGGCAAGCCGGTCCCTGTGGCCCTGTGGTTGATCTGTGACCGCCTGCGACGAGAGCGCCGCAGGAAGCCGGCCTCTGCGCCGGATCGCTGCTCACCTGCCTTGTCGGGCTCTTTCTGTCTTCATTTTTCAAGTTACTGTTTTGAATTCTCTTCATCTTTGTAAATGTTTTCTTAGAAGAGAAAACTTTCTGCCAGGTAAAGTATGTTTGAAAACTGTGGAGGAATTGAAGTGTTAAGGGAGACCCAAACCCCCACCCTCGCTGGCCGTGAGTTTGCGCGTGGGACGCTGGTGACAGAGCGGGCCCGCCTTGCGCTCAGTCTCCCGGTCTACATGGAGAACTGTCGGAAGTGGGCGTGTCGCTGCCGCTTTGCTCCATGCTGTCTTTAGCAGAGCTCCGTCTCCAGCACTGTGGCCTCTGAGCAGTCAGAAAGAGTGTTGTCTCTGAAGCTTTGGGTTTTCTTGTTAGGACATGATTTTTTTAAACTTGACACCGTGTTAAATCTGTAAAGTACGTTTTACTGGAAGAGAATATAGATCTCTATTGTACTGAGAAAACATAATACAATCTCTTTGTCTTGAAATTAAATGTGTAATGTTCGCCATCAATAAAATCAAGGTTTTCCTCATGAGGCACAGTCATTTCATAACAAAACTACAAAATTGCAAATATAATTGTCAAATTTAAACAATCTTCTTACCTAATAAGTTATATTTAATTACTAGAAAATACCTTCATATTTAACAGCCAAGCAGAAAAAAACATAGTACAATCTTCATCTGAAATGACAGGGTACACATTTCCATTGGTGCTATCAGAGATGCTGCAAGTATTCACGTTTATAAACTTGAAATATATACTTAAGCATTAACTTAAAACTGGGCTGTCAAAACCTGTGTGAGTGTGCAGTCTCCACAGAGAAGACCTGAAGCCCCTGGAAGGAGGAGTGGAAGTACACTGGCTCTGCTGTGCTGAATGCTGCACAGCTGGAGCCGCGTCTGCCGTCGGCCTAGACAGGTATCCCCGGGCTTAGAGGATGCTTCCTTCCTTTTAATTGTGATCATGAAGCTGAGTTGAGGAATAAGGGTATTTACACAGTCTATAAACAGTGCTTACAAGAATACAGTTCCAGGATGATCTGTACTGTGTAGCATAAGTGTTCTGTTTTCCAGTTATTTACTGATAAACTCACACATAGCTTTCTCGTTGTGACAGCAGAGTCTGTAAGTTGTCAGTCTCTCAACGTTGAACTCGTCTTCTCCGAGGTACCCACCTCTTCACAATGCCAGATCATGGCCCGTATTGAGTTTTGTTTGGGTTCATTAAGTGATGATGTTCCCGGAGCACTAGTCTGAGGACAGGAGTCCCCCGGCTCCGGGAGTGTGTGGCCCAGGTGGCCGAGGGGGCCATGAGCACCCGTGCCTGCCGGTGCCCTGGGGTACATCTGGATGTGCAGTGCGCAGTTTCCCCAGGTGCGTGCAGGTGTTTAGAAGTCTGCGGGTCGGATCATCATGGTTGTGGCCTTGAGTGAGTAGCCTGACCCTTTCCAGTAGTACCATTTAATACCGTTGAACTTATTTGTGTTCTGCCTTTGTGGATAGTACATTCCGTTCAAGTTGGAAGGACCACATGCATCGAACCACCAGCCTGTGAAAAGTAAAACACAGTAGGCGTTAGGAAGGGGATGAGGACAGCTCCTGTCCTGGAGGCTGGGAGCCGCAGCATAGGCACATCCTGTGGCCCTCTCACACCTGCGGAAGGCACTGCTCTGGCAGAACTGTGGCACTCCAAGTTTGCCCAGGCAACTGGAGTGCCACCCTAGCAAGTGTCGCCACAGCTGTCTGGCTTCTTTTTGCTTAAGCTATGTGGAAAGGAATACATGCACACATGCTCCTAGTGCAGATTTGGTGAAGTCCTCCATGGTCAGAAGTGCAGATGAACAAAATGCAACACTGCTGGAGAGCATTCAGCGGCCTGCGCCAGTTCAAACACCCCTTCCTTAATGATAATTAGCATGGCAAGTGCCCAGGGAACTTTGGGCTTGCTAGGCTGCTGGAGTGGAGGGCTTGCTAGGCTGCAGGTTAGGCCCCGGTGGGTCCCTGCACGGCTGGATGGGAGAGCATCACCATCCAGACCATCCCCAAAGGCCCAGAAGCAGGAGCCTGCCAGGGTGTCCAAAGTGACCTGACCGCAGGTGTGGAGTCTGAGCAGACCTTACAAACTCTGTGCTTTAAAGATAAACATCCTGCTGACAGCCTTGATTACCTATTTTTAAGATGCAGAAAACAGCAACAAAATCACTGTTGATGTCACCGTAAGTAATAAAATAAAGCAAGAGAAGCTTGTGTCCTCCCCGCTCACGCCCTGCGGCAAGTAGGGAGTGACATTAGTAGGGCAGCATCTGCCTCGTCTGACTGCAGAGAGAAATAGTCAATGTTTGCACTGTGGAGTGTGTCAGTCACCTTCCCCCGGTGCCTGCACTCTGCTCTCGATGTCTGCCCGTGCCTCCCCGTGTTCTGGGTACGTACAAACGTGCTGATGTCTGTGTGGCCCAGGGTTGCTCTGAGCCTCAGCTCAGCACCTCTGGAGCCTATTGTCTGACCTCATGTGAGAAGCCAGTGTCCGTGCCAGATCCCAGCTGCTCATCAGGCCGTGTCATTCCTGCAAGGAATTTGGCATCTTTACAATCGAGACTACTCCACTTTCCCTCTTGGGCTGCGGCAGCTCCCTAGGCCGCTTTCCAGTGCCGTTGTCAGCCGCTACATTTTGATTTGAATAAATAAATACATTAATTTCCCTAGGTTGCCAGTGTAGTTCTCCCGAGAAGCTTCTCAGAAGTGTCTGCGTGTCTGCAGGATCAATGCAGGAGGGGGGACAGCCTGAGTGTGTGCAGGACCCAGTGCAGGAGGGGACAGCCTGAGTGTGTGCAGGATCCAGTGCCTTTTCTTTTTAATGGAGCCCAGTTCCTTCCATTTTATCAAAGACATGAGAACTACTGAATTTCAGATTATTTTGATAAATAAATCCTCTCTTTTTATATAAGCGATTCTTAGCTGAAATCTAAATATACTATAAGCTTACATCTTTTACATTGCATGCAGTAATTGATATTTATAAAATATTTTGACCACAAGTCATGACCTTTGGTTTTCTGTCAATTTATGTTCTCACCAAATCAAGCCCTGCCGATTCCTGTCTACACTCATGATGGAGTTTTTATTGCTGTCTTATATTGCCCAGTGTGCTTAAGAACTCACTTGACAGCACTTGCCAGACCTCTCGTGCCGTTCACTGGGTACTGCCTCCCATTGCCCAACTTCTAAACTTGTAAATACTAGAAGAGTAAGTTTTCTAACAGCAGATTCACTGTAGAACTCCTTAAGCGTTTCTGAGTACCATGCCAGCCACCATCAAGGGACTGCTATCACAATCTTGCCTTAAAGTGCACTTTCCATTTTCTAATTTTAAAGCAATCTGATACTGCAGTTGGAACACAAGAGAGTCCTGAAAAGAAAAACCATAATGTAATTTGCTTTGATTTGATGAGCCAGAAAATGTGGTAGTTTGTTCCTGTGTGTTTAGGTATGTTGGCTGTGTATCAGTGATCCTTAAAAGACAGCTGAAAATCACTCAAGCCTTACACCGCTGATTGGAAATGTTCCCATAGTAATAATTCTGTGTCATCACTGTGGTTGCAATTTTGAATTTTTACTTTTAATAATGCAGAATGGAGTTAAGTCTGCTATTCAGCAGGCACAAACTCAAGAGAGCTCACTGAGCGTCGGGGGCCCTTGCCAGGGTCGTCCTGAGGAAGCACTGTTGGCTTGCTCATTCCAGCTCTGGGTCACACACCCTGTGTTAAAACATAGTGTAGGAAAGCGAAGGCATTTTCACCTGTGTGCAGCTCGTGTGCGCAGCTGCAAAGCGTTGGGCAGTCACCACTCACGGTCTGAAGTGTGTATGGCTTGCCTCCCCCTGGGAAGCTGTTCCTGGTCACACAAAGAGCAAGACAGAAAAGCCATCCCTACCTCCTGTGAGCATCTGTGAGCATTTGCAGATGCATTTGTCGTTGTCTGCATCCTTTGTGCTAAAATCATTTCCTGGTTGGCTAATGCTGCTGATTTTGCCGGCAGTCCCTGTGAGTCCTTTAAGGTGAATCCTGGAAGCATGCAAAGGAAAAAATAGAAGCTGTCATGGGCTCAGGGTGTTGATTTACGTTGCGGAAAGTTTTCCTGATGAAGAATTCCATTCTGCAGAAGCTCCTGTTGTGCTGTTGTTCCACACGCGCGGATGCCTACCCTGCACCGCTATAAACAGGAACCAACTTATCAAACTCGTGTAGACAGGGATGTTTTCAGGAAAATCTCCACACGTATCATTTGCAGGGACTGCAGGGCCCTGCAGTTTATGTTCCTGCTCCCTTCTCAGAAACAGAGGAGGTAGGGCAAGGAGATACAGCCAGAGGGGGACCCCCCGACCCATGTCCTCGGTCCTCAGTGACTGGACAACCCAGACACCATTGTTTTCTACAGGGATGGCTCAAGGGTGCGGAGGGCCAGTCAGCAAAGAATGATCATTGACTGGTGTTGAAATCTGGAGCTGTGCAGAGAACAAAGCCATGATTGCCACACAGCATTGTGCAGGTCTTTTTCTGTGTGCAGGGAGGAACGCATGGCGCAGGAGCACCAGAGAACGGTAGCACAGTCCTCCAGAATGCTGCTCATCTCCAGGATCTGTGTGTCAGGGAGAAGAATGTGCCTTTTAGATTACTGTTTTTCTGTAACGATGCTTGAGCCACTGCCATCACAAAGCCCCTTGACAGATGGCTCAGGCTGGGTGAGCCTGCTCTCCTGCGGTGTGGACAGCTGTGGGCAGTGTGTCACAGTGCTGGCTCACGGGGCCTGGTGCCCACAACCTACAAGAATCCCATGCAGCTTACTGCTCCAGTGTTGGGAAGAGAAGTGCCCTGTGGGCCTATCTAATCATGTTTGGCTTTTGTGACTGCTGCTAGCATCTGCTGACCACTGCAGTTGTAGTTTCCAAGTTTCCTGCTAGGCCAGAGTGCAGAAACACGGGGAAGGTCCCGCTGGTTCAGCTTGTTCACAGATGTGTCCTCGGTGGACGTGGCAGCCCTTGGAAGGGGGCAGTGTGGAGGTTCAGAGATGGGAGCCCACCCGAGCTAACGCTGTGAAGCGAGGACTGCTGAGACATGCCTCACTCTACAGTTCTTTGCACTCTGGTGCATGCCTTAACCCAGGTGTCTCAGAAGTGAGGAAGAAGTTGGGTAGAGTTCAAGCTAAGGAATGTGGCAGGTGGAGTTCCCCGGGCATGGGTCCTGAGTAACTCTGATGTTACTGACTTGGATTTTGACATATTTTTTAATGGCCCTAGAAGTTTCCTGACAAGGCACTGATGAATCACCTGCATTTCGGTGTTTTTCCTAGACTACCTAGAACAAAGCTGAGCCCAGCTGTGTCTCTCATGCATGGCTCCCCTTCGCCGTGGTTTCCAACACCTGGCTTTCCCTCCAGCCTCTTCTCATGACTCGTGTCCTGCAGAGGGGCTGCCTTGCTGACCCCTCCTCCTCTCCCATGTCTGCTTTGAGCACTTTCAGTTCTCATGGAAGTCATTCCATTTCCCCAAAGACAAGCAAAATAGAGCAGACCATGAGCTTTCATTAGCTCGTATTATGTTGGTTGTATAATTTTAGATCATTTTGTGGCTTACTGCTTTCTTTTAACATGTAGCTAAATGGCTACATTCCTGCCATTGCTTTCAGTGGGTTGTCTCGATCTTATGTAACAGCGAAGTAAACTTTCGGAGTGCTGATGAAAGGGTGGCCATGTCTCCCTGCTGCCTCTGTGCATATCCTACAACATGTGCTGTTCAGTTTCCCAATATTCTTAGGCAGAAACTCCTACATATAGTTGGGATTCTAACACATGTATAACACAATTTCCTTAACACACTGACATCACGTTTTATTAGTATAGTAATTTTTCATGAACTATCTATTGTCTTTATACATTGGGCTTTAAAACACTACATTTTTTTAATGGCATACCCCCAGTAGATTAAATTTCCAAAGGAAATGTCTGTTAAGAATCATCTCAGCTTAAAATATTTTTATAATGTCAGAGTATAAGGGTAATGACCCATTTTGCAAAATCTTCTTATGCAAACAGTCTAATCCTTAATTTTGTGTTTCTTTCCTTTAATTCCTCTGTTAGATTCCTAACTGTTACCAGTTGAGAAAATATTTAGCTTGGAGGGAAAACAATGACCAAGCACATCAAATTCATTGAAGTTCTGATGTTTTGGAGTTACGCTGGACCTGCTGTGAAGTTCAAGCACCTATCTCTCCATTCATCTTGGCTGCTGCCTCTCCTAGCGAGCGTGCTTCTTCTAAGAACCGAGGCAGCAGTCCTTGGTGTTCAGTAGGTTTTATGCCTCGTGTGTCAAGCAGGACACACTGGTCCCATGTAGTTCTCTGCAGGCTCCAGTGTCCTGTCTTTGAAAGCCTGCTTTCCTGCGCTGTCCCTTGTGGGAAGCCCCTGTTCTCCTATGGGAAGTCAGCCCAAGACATGGAAATGACCCTGACTTTTCCCCAGAGTTCAGATCTGGGGGTTTATGTTGAACAGGGGGTCTGAGTTGGACATGAAGGAACTTAGGAGGGATTGCAGACCAGAGAGGGAATGTTTCTGGGATGTTCTCATTGAACCTGACTCTGCTGCCTTCTTGCTAGGGGTCGGTGTCTGGCCTTGTGTGCTCTCCCCTCCCCAAGCACCATCAGCCTGCGCTCTCTGAGGTCCTGTCGCTGCCAGCTGTCCTGAGACTGCATTTGGTGCCACGTGGCACACCCCTTCCCATCGTTTCTTCCCCTGCGTAGTTAGCAGTGCCTCCGTATGTGCGTGGCTGCGTGACACTTTTTTTGCATGTAGATTGTCATGTTCCTTTTATGCTCTGTCTCTACTCTTGTAGCATTTTAGAACCAGGGTAAGTCTGATGTCCCGTAACAGAGTAGAGGGGCTAACTGATAGCCTTCCTGCTTAATTCAGCCATTTTTAAGTCAGCAACAAATCTTGAATTGCATGCTGAATGCAATCAAACTGTTTAAACTTGAAATGTAAGTTTAAAAACCTCTTGGAAGTAAACAAAGACACTTCAGATCACTCGAGGCAAATGGACTTAAAAGATAAGGTTGACTTAGTGCAAATCCATGCATGTGAAGGGTCATTAAAAACTCATGGAACTGCATTTGCCGTGTGTCCACTGTTTGTGTTGAAGTAAATGTATCGTTTATATGCCCTTTGGAGTGAGCTTAGCGAAGTTCCCTCGTGGACTCAGCCACCGTTTGCCATTCCGCAGGTGGTTATGAACAGCAGTACTTTGCCAGAGCTCTTCTCGCACTGGAGGACACACCAAGCACAACAGAAATAATCCCCATGAAGTTTGCCTTATGTGTTTATAGACAAAGTTAGAATTTTTGAAACTTAGAGAAACTTAGCTAATGCGTTCAATTGTTCTAAGACATAGGCCTTTTTTTCCCCATTTGAGTTACTCTCAGAGTAATTTGCACCGTGGTTAAGTGAGTATGGTTCCCATTCTCTGAAACAGTTACCCAGAAAATCCCTTCACACACCCCACACCAAGTATAATTTGCTTACCTGTACTTAAATTCCTCGCTTGAGAGGTAGAAGTGTTCATACAGTGAGTAAGCCTCGTTCCCTTCCCAGTCCTTCAGGTGGATTTTAAGCACGTAGCGTTGCTGATTAGTCAGCTGGGAAACAAACTCATTTCCCAGCCAGTGTTCTCCTGAAGGGTTGCCAAATCCCTGCAATGCAAGTTGTGAAAGTCACTTACATTTTCTTCTTTAGGTGTTTGAAACCAGCATCTCACCAGCTCAGCATGAAGTAAGATCAGATAGTGGGAATTACTTTCTTTGCTGTGAAAATCTTGGGCTTTTTGCATAGGAACATGGGTTACATTGTAAAAGGTCTGTTTTCAGCAAGGAGCCTGTGCTTGAAGGAAGTTGGTATTAGCATAATTATAGCTTCTTGGGGAAGCTACATGAAGACCTGAGCATGAGCAGCTTTCCCACCAGGTGCACAGAGCACCGCGGAGAGCTGCTTACCAAACCTCCCCCTTCCCCCCGCGCTCGGCCCTACAGCAAAGGCCACCATGGAGAGCTGCACTGGGCCCTACAGCAAAGGCCACTGTGCTACTGAAACTCCAAGCTGGGGAAACCTCTATTGAAAAAACTGCACCCAAAGTCTTCAGTTACTTTTGGATTTGCATCTAAGGCCCTGAGGATCTTCAGAGTGAGTTTTCACATAAGAGAAATGATTTCTTTACAGAAAGCTTAAGGAATATCTGTACCATTTTATATTCTTTCCACGTCCTCTGGAAATCCACACTGCCATCCTCCCGCCGCTGTATGGTCGTCCAGCCGCCGCCGCCCGTCTCCATGTCACAGTAGGCCTGCAGGGGACATGCACGTTACTGCCGCGGGCTCTGCCCTGGGACTGAGGCTTTGTCCTCCGTGCCAGAAACAGTGTGGACATGGACACCTGTTGCACAGCTCAGCCAGCAGGGTTGTGTGTGTGTGTGTGTGTGTGTGTGTGTGTGTGTAGCTGTGTAGCAGCATTAAGTAAATTGAAAGGGGTACTTTTTTAAATGAATGAAAAAGACAGTAATATAATGTGAGGCATTAATGAAAATATGGATTTCTGCTATCATGTGTGAGGCTAGCTCAAGGCTTCTGAGCACTTTACTCACCACCTCGGTCTTTCTCCACCCAACTCTTTTTATTTCTGCTGTTAAACTGACTCAGTGCATTTCAGTGTTGTCCCAAATACAGAATTGTGTCTCGGGCTGGAAGGATGCGTACCCAATTTCAGCTCAGCTGGAGTTTAGTTAAGAATTTAAAGACCCCTGCACATAAGATCTTATAAACAGTTTTAAATAATCAGATTCTGGGAGGATGAGGAAGTTTTTCAGAGAGTAAGACCCTTTGCCTACAGCTTAGCGTATAGGGTAGGGCCTGTTCATCTCCTCTGTTGCCTACGATCTTGGTGAATATAACAGAGGTTCTGACGTCATCAACTGAAATTTGACTGTCCCGTGAGTAGATGTTGTGCTAAGGAGCTTGGAGGGAGCCAGGAGAGCACCTGGCACTGTGCTTTGCCTTCATTTGTGCAGATACGTGGGCTGCCTGATCTCACGGCCAGCGGGCAGCACTGAGCTGGGCAGCTCTGCTTGGACTGCCCTGCTTCCCTGGAGCTCTTTTCTGCCATCATTTCTGTCTCCGTCTCTCCAGGAAGGCCGCAGGGCTCCTCCTACCCTCCCCAGCGAAACTCCTGCCCAGAAAGACAAATGGCCATCACACAAAACTGTACTTATTGGCAAGAAAATTATTTTCCCCCTGAAGTTGAGTAAGAGATGTCAAGCTAAACTGCTTTGTCGATCCCTGTCGGTGCTCGTAATACCGGTGGTGATGTTGTCTTTGTCACATACCTCCCTTGCAGACAGGGTGCCAGATACTCTGCAGTTGGGATCTGTAATCTCACAGCAGCCAGCTGTGAGATCATAACTCCACTTTTGAGAAAGATCCAGTGAAATTATATCAGTTCAATCCTAACCCCTTCAGCTCGTAAGTGGTACATAAGATTTGAGCAAGTTCTCTTTAATTCCTCATGGTGCCATTTTTCTTCCTCTACACCATTCTGCCAAACAGAGAAACCTTTCCCTTTTGTTAATAGGCCAAAAGTCTCAGCACAGCTCTAAGCTGAAATCAGTTCATGAATAATACTGTCCTTTATCTGCCTGCGGCCAGCAAAGTGGTTAGTGCCGCCCACTTCCATGAATGTGTGTGTCTTTTGAAAAACCCACTTAGTAACCTAATAATCCACATTGGTTTGTGGACTCACGTGTGTATATAGAATTTATTTCTTCTGTCTCTTAAATGATGCATTGGTGGATTGAAAGAACAGACGTGGTTCCTGCTGAGCCCATTCTTGCTGCAAGAATATTTGGCTCTTCAATATCAGAATTGCCTTCTTAAATCTACTGTTTAAATGCATGCTGTCCTATCGAAAGAAGAGTTATCTGCTACAGAAGTCAAGGCAAGACTCTCAAATGTCAAGAGTGACTGCCAGAACATGAATGCCATGTCACTATTTTGGCTGACTCCATTAGTGGCCATGGTAAAGTTATTTTCTTAATACTTTATCCAGATTTTTTCAAGCTAAGAGCAGAAGATTTTAAAAACTGAAGCATTCATTGGGTCATGAAACTTGAAGAGAAAGAGTGTTCAAAATGAGTTATCCACATAGCCAGGAGATACTGAGTGAAAATGATTCAATAGAGATTATACTGAGATCAGAGGAACAGAAATAATCAGATAATGTGCAAGACCAAATACAGTAAATCTGAGGGCAGTTAATATTTTGTTTGTGCAGTGTTGCATGGTTCAGGGACTTGCTCGCTGTAAAGCTTGATGTTTTGTTACAAAATATGCTTGATTTGCATGTTGTGCTCTGACTCTGAAGCCTCCGTTAAGTAACTGATTCAAGTATCTATTCACAGATAGAATCTGGAATCAAGTGTCCTGTGAAATTTAGGGAACGAAACTTTTATGTCTGCAGCTAGCAAGAGCATGCTCTCATGCCTCTGACAAGTACCATCCTCCAGAAACACGAGACTGTTCCAGAGTGAAGCCGCAGTGCTGGGCCTTCTGCAAGGAGATCCAGCCTAAGGGCCCCTGGATGGTCTGCCCGAGCTAGATGAAGCAGCGAAGCAAGGAGGGTGCACCCCCCGCAGAGAAGCCGTCATCCCCAGGGCAGTCAAAACAGCCACTCTCTTTGCACATGTTTTCCTGCTGACACAGCCCCCGAGGCAGGGGTATCCTGGCCTGTTGCAGATACGGAATCTGGATGCTCAGAGGGCAAGAAGCCTTGCCCAGCACTGCAGTCTCACAGAGCTGCGATTTCAGGCCAAGTCTTTGGGACTCTCTCCCCCAGAACAGAGGGTGACTTACAGTCTTACTTCTGGAAGGGAACTTGGTGGTAACTTGATCTCAACCATTTACTTTAGAAATAAGAAAATTGAGGTTTTTAAAAGTTTATTGTTCCCTGCTGTGTAAATGAATTTATTTTCACTACAGATGTTTAAGGAGACTACCAACTGTGATGTTTCCAATCTCTGTAATTCATATCATCCCCGAGCCTTAGCTGTTTTCACCTTGTGGCGGAGAGCTTTAGTCAGTCTGGGGCCGTGTGGGGGGCATGCAAGAGCTGGGATGCTGCACTGAGCAAGACACTGCTGTGGCGGTGTGGAGGCCAGTGAGCCTGGGGCCACCCTGCAGTGCTGTGTGCCTAGCATCTGCCATGCTCACATCTGCTCCCCAGAGGCACATCTGTCCTCATGGGGGCTCAGAACCCACCAGCATCTGGCAGAAGACAGCAACATGCAAGGAACTGCCATCCTAAGCAGATATCCGAAAGCAGGCAGAAGGCTGTATCTTGGGCTTCTAGCTCCTTTCTCACCTGCAGTGCCTTGTCCTCCCCTCCCCCTCCCACCCCTGCACACTGCTTCCATGCCACCCGGGACGTTAACTGATTTTCAAGGTTGGTTGAAAGCAGCATGGATGAATTAGAAAGGTTTCTTTGGAAACCATTATCTAGAATGGATAATATTTATCTTTTAAATTCATAATCAAAGGTATTTATGTTGCCATTTCAAATGCCACATCTTTAAAACATTAATGCTTTTGTGGTCAGTGTTTCTCTTTGATGCCATATTGACTATTGAAGATTATGTTAAGTTCAGAAAAGTACCAGTTCCCCAAGCCTCAGAACTTTGGACGCTGCTAGAGGGTCCAGTGTATTATCTGCAGTGGCTTGTGTCAGTTCTGTATGTGGTGGCGTTGATATACATGTAGTAGAGCTGTCCAACCTCGATACACTTCACTGGGATTCTTACGTCACCACACCTCAAAGAGAGAAATAAAGACCTCTCTGACAAGGCAAGGATAGTTGCAAATGCTGTCAGCCCTCTATGCTGACTGAGTGTCCAAAGAGATGACTGGTGTGTAACTGTTTCAGTCGTGAGCTGGGGGAGACTTCACATTGTCCACGGAGCACATCATTGCTTGAAAGATTACTCAAAGACAAACTATGATTCTTTGAACTTCAGTTTTTGAAAGGCATATTTAAAGTTCATGAAATGAGCCTGGCACTTTAAGAAAAACAAGTGAGGGGCTGGCGTTGTAGCACAGCAGGTTAACACAATGCCAGCATATGAATACCAGTTTGAATCACAGCTTCTCTACCTTAGATCCAGCTCCCTGCACATGTGCCTGGGAGCAGAGCAGGAAAGATGGCCCAGATAATTGGGGCCCAGTACCACATGAGAGGTCAGCCTGGGGTTCCAGGCTCCCGTCTTTGGCCTGCACTGTCCTGGCTGTTGAGCCCATTTGGGGAGTGAACCAACAGATTAAGATGTCTCTCCCTCTCACCTCTTCTCTTTTCCTGTTCATCTCCTTCTCTTCCTATAACACCGTGTTTCAAGTAAATACATTTTTAAATATGTTTGTTTATTTATTGGAAAGGCAGAATTACAGAGAGGAAGACAGACAGATCTGCCATCTGCTGGCTCACTCCCTAAATGGCCGTAACAGCCAGAACTGAGCCAGTCTGAAACCAAGAGCCTCATCCAGTCTCCCAGGTGGGTTCAGGGGACCAAGGACTTGGACTCTGCTCTGTTCTCATGTGCGTTAGCAGGGAGCCGGATCGCAAATGGGGCAGCTGGGACTTGAAGCTTCTTTCATATGGGATACTGGCTCCATAAGGTGGTGGCATAACTCGATATGCCCCAGTGCTGGCCCTGAAGTAAACGTATTTTGAAAAGAAAAATAAATAAATAAATAAAATGAGAAGCTTCATTTTGGGGGGCATAACATTTTTCTTATGGGAGAGGAGGCAGATACGTCAGCTGCCCTGAGTTGGAGGTGGGAGGCAGGCGCGGGGAGTTCTGCTCTGTGGAGTCTCACCCTCTGACCTGCATGGCACCGAGAGTTCTCACACTTACCTTCGTCTCTTCCGTGGAGTTAGGAAACGTTAGCGTGTAGACACCGCTGGTGGTCAGTCCCGATCTGAACACATCTGCACAGTCCCTGAATGTAACCTGCTCCTCCTTAGTCCCGAGGGAGTTCTTAGCTGCTTAAAAATAAAAGGATACATTTAAATGGAGTTCACAAACAGATCAAAGTTGATTGTTTGAAGACCAAATCATTTGCTCAGTTTGTTATTTGAATTCTTATACTTGTGGTATGCAAGAGAGATGCCATTTTTCTGCCTTTCTGAAAAAAGTTACTTTCATGCTCAGAGCTAATTGTCAAAGTGTCACAAACAATCCACACCTCTGCTTTCAAGTCTTCTACCTATGTAGTGCAGGACTTTGAGGTCAGCTCTGATAAACTACTACTGGAAGCCTCTGCCCAGAGTAGAATCGGTAACCTTGCAATAGAAGGTTAGGCAGAGGGAGTGCCTGAAGCACATCATCAACTCTGGCACCGCAGCAGATCCCTGTACACCGTTAACCTATATCCTCCCCCCCACACACACACCCCCGCAGCAGATCCCTTTACACCGTTAACCTATATCCCCCCCACACACACAGCAGATCCCTTTACCCTGTTAACCTATATCCCCCCCCACACACACACACCCCCGCAGCAGATCCCTGTACACCGTTAACCTATATCCCCCCCCCACACACACACAGCAGATCCCTTTACCCTGTTAACCTATATCCCCCCCACACACACACAGCAGATCCCTTTACACTGTTAACCTATACCCCCCCACACACACACAGCAGATCCCTTTACACTGTTAACCTATATCCCCCCACACACACACCCCCGCAGCAGATCCCTGTACACCGTTAACCCATATCCCCCCACACACACACCCACACAGCAGATCCCTGTACACTGTTAACCTATATCCCTCCCCCCCACACACACACAGCCGCAGCAGATCCCTGTACACCGTTAACCTATATCCCCCCCACACACACACACACAGCAGATCCCTTTACCCTGTTAACCTATATCCCCACACACACACACACACACACACACAGCAGATCCCTTTACCCTGTTAACCTATATCCCCCCCACACACACACAACAGATCTCTGTACACCGTTAACCTATATCCCCCCCACACACACACACACACACCCTCACCCGCTTGTTTTGTATCTTGAGCCAAGTCATTAATTTTCTTTACACTATTGGGTAGAGACATTGAGTTGTCTGGAACCTCTGCCATCGTAGCATGGAAATGTCCGCTACCAAGGGGCTGTAATGTTTGTGTCTACATGTATGTGTGTGTCTGTGCTGTACACTACCCATGGAGCAGCAGTCTGCGGGCCTTGCCAGCCTCCAGGACACACCAAAGGCACCCAGGACAGGAAAGTCCGGCCTGAGCTCCCTCTCCTGCGCATTTCCTTTTGTCAGTACAGTGGTTCCACCTGTGATCTCCACCCAGCAGACAGCTTTACATGATTGCACTTTCTTTGTAAACAGGGAACTTTTAAATATAGGGTGACGAAGCTCTAGTTGGAAAGTATGCCATGCCGACTGGCAGCCCGGGGCCTCATCTGTCAGGCACCGTCAGGACTGTGCCATTCACTATTCCTGCCTGTCTGTCTGCTGGATCCAGTAGAAACTTCATTGAGGTATAGCTGTTGAAACTGCAGTGACTGCTTGACCCAAGGAAAATATGGGGGTTTTTGATTGTGGAGTAAGGAATTCATCTACATGACTCGCGTATAAAGTAGCTCGTGGGCAGAGTGCAGCTTGAGAAGTTATCATGCAAAGAACCACGGCCAGCACTACTGTCAACTCAGAAACCCAGAAACAAAAATGCCACAAGGTTCATGGAAAATTCATGTTATTTTTCAATCACACTTTTCCATGAAATGTTTGAAGCATTCTTTATACATCAATCTCTGATTAATGGTCAGAGACATAATGCTTCTGCCAGTATCACAGAGGAGCTGAAAGTAAAGACTCACGAAGAAGGCAGAATGTCCAAGTCTCCAGGGGCCTGGTGACAAAGGAAAGAGGGCATCCGAGTGGCACTGCCTATTTGCACAGCAGTCTCCCGGGCCTCCTATTGTTTTTCTGCTTTGAAAAATAAAGAAGCGTAGGCATGGCATGGTAGCCTAGTGGCTAAATCCTCACCTGGCACGCCCGGGATCCCATATGGGCACTGATTCATGTCCCGGCTGTTCCAGTTCCCATCCAGCCCCCTGCCTGTGGCCTGTGAAAACAGTGGAGGACGGCCCAAAGCCTTGGGGCCCTGTACCCGTGTGGGAGACCTAGAAGAAGCTCTTAGCTCCTGGTTACGAATCGACTCAGCTCCGGTTCAGCTGTGGCCACTTGGGGAGTGACTCAGAGGATGGAAGCAGTTTCTCTCTATCCCCTCCTCTCTGCAAAATCTGACTTTCCAATAAAAATAAATAAATCTTAAAAATAAATAAATAAGAAGAAGCTTACTCCACCAGCAGTTAGGTGCCTAACCCAACCTTGATGGCCGCAGTGACGGAACAGGCTGTTCCTGCACTCAAACCATGTTTGGGGGAGATTTCTCTCCTAATCAGCAACTAGCAGAGCATATGTTTTCTCCCTTCCACCTTCTCTTGAGTTGATTCTGAATTGAGAACCCTGGAACTCTCACATGACATGTACAAGAGAAATAGTGTCTTTCTAAAAGATGAGAATGTTTGAGAACCCGATTGTCACTGGCGAAAGGCAGTTTAGGCAGAAGAGAACACAGCGCATGCGCTGACTCACAGGTGGAGGTTGCTATCATGGTCAGCAAGCTGTGGACCGTCTCGGTGAGATCGTGCTGCTGCTTCTGAAGGGCCGAGTTGTTGACCGTGGCCGTCACTAGCTGCCGCTCGAGCTCTTCGATGATGGAATTCTGCCTGGACACCAACACCTGGAGCTGGTCCTTCTCTGCTTTTATTGACTGCAGCTGGACGATGTGCTTGTCTTCCATGTCCAGCACTTTCTTTTCTAGAAAACTTGAAGCCAAAACCATTGTTATGATAAGATGTTCTAATGATCTGATTCCCACCAACACCAAACGCTTGGCAAAATCTCGAGTCATTTTCATGATTCTAAAGTAACTTTGCATTTTTATGGGATTTCTACTTCTCGCTGTACTCTGTTAAGATGTTATCTGTCTGGGCTGTTAACCCGCAGCGTTAATAATCTTGCACAGCCCTAAAAATCTCCATCTTGCAATGAAGATTAGATCCCTCCGGAAGAGTGCATGTGTTTGTGTATCTGTGCACATGCTTGCACAATCAGCACAGGATGTCAGCTCATTCTGGGTGATACTGTTCCATTTGACAGTGTTCATGAAATGTTTGTTAGCAGGGGTTGACTCTGTTGGATCTTAGCTTCCTCCTCAACTATTTATATTTAGTACTGATTTCGTCGAGGCTGCTCGCAGGCATTCTTTGTATGCCCCGTGGCAAATCCTGAATGAGGGGATTGAAGCCTTTGCCCAGATTCAAATCCTGGTTCATCAGCCCCATGGCTCTAAGCTGCCCAATCAGTATTCCGTCATTCATCTGTAAAGTGGGCAGTATGTGGGCTTCATGCGGTTGGTCTGAGAAGGAAAATGCATCTTAAAGTCTAAATGCTTAGGCTAGTTCCTGACACGGTAGATGCTATTATTATTAATATCCTCTCTGTTACCCTCAGTTCCAGCGAACCAATGGTAGCTTAGAGGCAGAGCTCTCGGATGGTCACTCACAAAGCAGGTAGCAGAGGAGAATTCAAACGCAGGTCTTTCTGACAGCGGGGTCCACTCTTTGTTATAATATTGACTCCTTTTTTCCTTGAGAAATTTAACGAGCATTGATTCATCTACTCCATACTTAACTCTTAAAATATGAGCTAGTCCCTTCAGAAGCATTCATTTCCACTTGAGAAAGCACATCCTATCTCATAAAAAGCTTTTGGAAATTATTGTGGTAGCTGATACACTTAACCTTAAAAGTCTCAAGGTTGTCTTTAATGGTAACGCTATTTATTTTATTTCAGTTTCTCTTTGTATCATGAAGATAAGTTGCTACTCATAAGTATGTTTTCTTAAGAATTCATGAAATCTAAAATGGAAATGGCTGTTGTCCATTAAGCTAGAGCAAAGGATTCCTGGTGTGTGGCCTGCGTAAACACTGCACGCGTTAAGAGCAGTCTGTTTTCCAACACAGACTCAAAGACATACATAGGAAAGGTATTTTGGCAGGTTGCTGTTTTTTTAAGTAAGACACAGAGGACCCTGGGTCGCCTGGCACTTAATGATAGATCTTGCTGTCTGTTTCGTCAGTGCTTTATGAAGTACTTAAGAGGCTTGCTCTGATAACTGCAGGAAATGCAGCAACCAAGGGCCCTTCAAGATCTTGGTTCTGTTTGTCAGGCTGGTAAATAAAGCTTTCAAGGTACAGACACTTTAGAAAAGAAAAAAGCGAAATAGTAAACCAGATGTCAAATCCTGTCTGACATTTCCTCCCAGTTTCAAATTTAGTGGAAGTGAATTTACCCATTACAGCATCTCCTTTGCCTTTTGGAGCCAGCTGACCATCACTGTCTACTCTCGGTCAGGTGTACAGCTGATGGCTCCTTCACACTCACAGTCCTTTGAAGCTGCTAGTGGATTTCCACAGTCCCCCCTGGTGGCTGTCTAGGCACTAATGAGGTGCTCCCACAGTCCCCCGATGGCTGTCTAGGCACTGATGAGGTGCTCCCACAGCTGTTAGGAGTTTGGGAGAGGGCGTAAGGGGGGTTGGGGTAACATTGTGCCGCAGTGGATAAAGCCACCATTGTAACACCAGAGTCCCGTACGGATTCCCTTTTCTATCCTGGCTATTCCAAACCCAATCTGTCTTCTTGCTAGTGGCCTTGGGAGAGCCACAGAGCATGACCAAGGCTTTGGGTCCCTGCATCTTGTGGGAGACCTGAATAATGAAGCTCCCAGGTGCTGGTTTCAGCCTGGCCCAGGCCTGGTCGCTGTGGCCATCCTGTTGATGGAACATTTCTCTGCTTCTGTGTAATTCTGATGTTCAAAATATATAAACAAATCCTTAAAAAAAAAAGCTTTATGGAGAGAAAAATTTAATTCTCTCCACTTGCTTGATGAAGGCAACTTGAACCAGATATTTAGCTCCGCCTTGAATTATTTAAAACCTCCTAGATCCCTTGCAGTTATTTTTATGGGGAGAAAAATCAGGGTGCAGGTTTCTCTGAGTGGACCAAGTTGACTCATCAAGTTTGCAACACACCTTAACTTGGTGTCTGTTGTAAAAATCTTTCCAATGTATACAGCACCTACCACGCCATACCTATGAGAAGTTCTAGGGTTTTGCAGAATAATCAGGAAGGTTTTTTTTTTTAATCAGAAACCATATTCTTAAGCTGCTGAGAATTGAAATGCTTGATGATACTAACTAGGCAAGGAACTAACTATACTTTACAAGTCTTTCCTGTGACTAACGGTAATCAGTATTAATAATTCAGTTCATCACAGCCCTGTGACTGCAAATCAGTCTGTGACCATTAATATATCACCGTAATGCAGTCATCTAAGACTGTCATGTGTTTATCACATCCATCTTATTCTGCTGGTTTTTAATAGTTTCCTTTATATCAGCTGAGTTATTTGAAATTTTATTTCATTTGAAAGAAAATTTGTGTTAGTTTTGCAAATTTATAAAGATATGACATTTGCAGACGGAAACCTGAAATGAATATTTTTCATCTTTGTTCTGCCTAGGATCATTTTGAATACCACCAGCATACTAGGCAGTATGCTGTCGGGGACATTCCTGTGAGGCCTGACCTAAAGAATTAATATAAAATGTGTGGGACACCTTAGGACATCAGTCTGTGCTGTCCACAGAATAATGTTGCTGACGTTTCTGGTCCCACCCTCTTTGGGTGTTCCTGATAATCTGTGGGAGAAGCATGACAGTCTAGAGGATGGGATTCGCAGATCAGTCATAAACCACTTTGATGTCTTCTTCCTTATCCTGATCTAAAATGAAGCACGAGGTGGATTGTGAGCATGCGTTAAGGAGGCAGGCTGGCTCTGAGCTTGGGCAGCGCGTGTGGTGTGCACAGCAGCACAGCTCTTGGCTCTTGCAGCTGGAGGAGTTGGAGGGCTCACACTTTTGCCAAGTGCAGATCGTTTGAGCCTTGTTTCTCCCAAGTTTGCATCGCTTCGGAAGAGCGCAGTGCTCACAGCTTAACTGCATGGGCACACAGTTGCTCCACACATTAGTTAGTTTTAGAAGGAAGAAAAATAATGGGCTGCAGAGACATGATAGTGCCAACTTCATGGGAATCTGAATGCATAACGGGGGCAGTTTCAGGGGAAGTTCCTACCCCGAAATTTTGAGTTAGCATCCATTGTGTAAAAAAAAAAGTACTTTTAAGGTGCTATTGAAGATTTAAAAACCGTATTTAAAATATGGTCCTTGGAAGGTTGAACACCATTTGCACATTTGGGTGGTGGTCTTGCAAATAATCTCTTGGGTCAAAGTTCATTTCAGAAACGATAGCAAGCCAAGCTCATTGAAAGATAGAACATCATCAATGCAATTTCCTAGTATTTGGAGCTTTTGATAAAGAAAATTTTGGCATTATTCTGTGCCATCTTCAGCTGCCGGGAGGACCATGCTTGCTGCAGGTCCAGGCTCAGCACTGGTGGTCTCCACGGGTAGCCCACTGGTGAAGCTGAGCTTCTGTGGGCCTGGGAGATTACTGAGTGCTGGCTTCTGTTCAGCCATGGAGGGGAATGGTTGCCATGCGCAGTTGCTGCATGCCATGTAAAGTGTTACTCCTCTGAGGGATGAATCACAGGTATTTTTTAACTTAGTCTCATGTGAAGCTACATTTGAGTTACAGAAAATGTGTATTATTGATAATGGGAGTTAAACTAATAGGAAAATATGGAAGACTTAGATTAAAAAAAAAAAGAACTTGGAAGGACTGCGTAGACCAGAGTGAGCAGAAAGCACAGCCAGCTGCCTTGTGGATGGAGTCCCCACCTCATACAACATTCAGACATGGTTTTTCCATAATGCACATTTCTTAGCAAATTTTGGAACATTTCTTCTGAGACTTTATGTCAATTTTTTAAACAGTATTTACTTAGCTATTTGAAAGGTAGAGCAACAGAGACAGTAAGCGAGAATTGGTCTGCATCCACTTCCCAATTAATAGCCTGGGCTGGACAGGCTATTAATTCCTGGACCTGTCCAGCCCAGGCCCCAGAAACTCCATGCTGGCCTCCCATGGGTAACAGGAACTGAACACTTGGGGCCTTCTCCCACCGCCCTCCCAGGTAGATAGACGGCGAGCTGGATTGGACACCAAGCTACTGGGACTCAAACCACCACTCCAGTATGAAATGCCAGCATCCTAGGTTGTGGCTTCACCTGCAGTAGCCCCCACAAGGATTTCAAAGTTTTTGTGCTTCAAAATAAAAAGCACACACCCTCTTTTAATTCTGCTTTCCATAGACTTTTGCAGTGTCTCATACATCGAAAAGCTTTGACACACAAATTTTATCAAGTCGCCGGATGCTGGAGGGGAGAAAAAAGTTGTGAAACTTGTTGGTGTTTTTCAAAGCACCTCACTAAGTGGCTTTGTACAGCAGTCCGCTTGTTCTAAGTAGTGCGGCCAAACTAAGAAGTAAGGGAAGGAAAGAGAAAGGTGAGGCAGGAAATGAAGGGGATGGTGAGGAGGGAAGAGGAGAGCAGGGGAGGTCGCCAACTAGTACAATAGTTAAGTCACCACTTTGGACCACCTGCATCCCATTGCTGAGTCTGGGTTCCATCCCACCTCTGCTTCCAATTCCAGCTTCCTGTTGATAAGCATCCTGGAAAGCAGCAGGTCGTGCGTGACTCAAGTGCTTTGGTTCCTGTGGCCTGCTGTGTGTGAGACCAAATTGGGTTCTGTCTCCCAGTTACAGCCTAGCCCAGCCCTGGCTGTTGTGGGCAAATGTGGCCGAGAACACGCTATGGGAGACCTCTCTCTATTTCTGTTTGTGTGTCTGTCTGCCTCTTAATAAAAATAAGTTCTTAAAAAATGAATACTGGTTTTTCAAAATGCATGCATGTCACGAAGTCTTCCCAAATAATTGTGCAAGTAGCCATTCAGTTGGAGAAATGTGGGTGTGGCATTTATGTGAAGTAAAGGAGGCAGGCATTTGGTGTGGCTGTCAAGATGCCACTTGCAATGCCTACCTCCTCCATCAGAGTGTTTAGGCTGGCATCGCAGCTCTGCTTCTGAGTCCAGCGTCCTGCTAATGCAGACCTGGGAGGCAGTTGGTGATGGCATAAGTGTATCCCTGCCACCCCACTTACATTAGGCATGATTGAAAAACAAAAATTCTGGAAGCCATACCTAAAAGTCTGGGGGAGGGAATGGAGAGGGAAAAGGGAAATCCCAGGCCTATGGAACTGTATCATGAAATGATAATAATAAAAAGAAGTAAAATTTTTTTAAAAATTCTGGAAGCCATACCTAAAAGTCATGCACTAGAGCGTTGTATGTGTACAACTCTCAATCACAGATATTTGCGTATTACCTGTTTTTGTCTTGCAGTTTATTTATTTCACTGGTCTGATCCAAAATCTGTTTTTCCAGTTTGTTTGTCGACAGGGAGTGTTCTAGAAGCTGAAGCTCAAGTCTTGTCGTCTGGTTTAATACCTAAGTGTAACGAAATGAAACTCCTTAGTTGAGACTTAATTAAGTCATTCAGAATGTAGAAAAGATTTTTGTTTGTTTTCAGAAGAGGTTTGGTGTCTTGGGTTACGTTTGTTAAACCATTTTTTTCCCCATCATGTCTTTATGTTGGAAGGTGTCAGTATCGCCAGCACTTGTGTGGAATAGTTGTTATGTTTCTGTTTCTGCCACTTCTTTTCACACAGACTAGTGGGAGTATAAAATAGTCACATTTCAGAGATCAAAAGTTGTTAATGAATGAAAAATATTTTTGCTCTGCTGAAAACAAAATGCTATTCTCCTATTTGTTTGTTTCTGAGTAGACAAAAGGACTAGAAGTCAGTCACATGCTTCCATTATATACAAATACAGCGTATTTTTAGCTTGGTATTTCCTAGTTTGTGTCCACATGTAGCCTTTTATACTTTCTTCACTATTTTTCTTACTCCCATTTTAAAATTAGTTTCAACCAATTGGAAACAATAAAATAGCAATTTAACATGGCAGCGGGGTTTGCTCCAGAGGCTCTTCTGAGTGTGGCATGTGCGGCATGACTTTTCCTCTGTGCTCATGCAACTTGAAAGATGGATTCCTGAGCCTTTGGCTGCCTTCAGCCCGCAGGAAGATGGATTAGTCACATCCTCCAGATCCTGCTTGTTCAGGATGTGATGTCACATGTGAATCTAAGTCCCAATTGTTGCCAAGGAATTTGGGGGCCTTGAAAGAATCATTGTTTGCTCTGGGTCTTTGTCATTCTGAAAAACCAAGGCCTGGCCCACAGCCTGTCTCTAGGGGTGGCCAGGCATCAGTCAGAAGGCCAGTTACATTCATGGGAAACGTCTTTCTGTAAATGAACAAAGGCGCCGGGCAACCACAGGTTTCAGTTTCAGTGTTACTAACTGGAATGTAGACTTAGCCTGCACCTTCCATGGATGTGAGCATTCTCTTTTAACCTCTAAAAGAAGCTGGAAGATTGAGCCTCCTGTTGGATTCATAAGGGTTATAAAATGAGGAGCATTTGAGAAAGCAGTGGGCAAGTGTTTGAGCCAGGGGCAACTGCGGTAACTTTTAGCCTCACTTCTCCCTAGAGTGTGGTGCCGGGACAAGGACCTCAAGATTCCCATGTGGTTGATATATGTGACAGCCTGGATTACCCAGGTCGGTCACTGCTTTCTGCTCCTATAACATCTCAGTCTTCCAGCCACTGGTCACAGCCCCTTCGCACTGGTCTCCTGCTATAATATACTAGCATAATCTTGCATCTAGTAGAAACTTTTACGTTTGAACCTGAAATTATTTCCTAGCCAGTAACTGCTTGATACCTGCCTTCAAGTGCGTTGCAGCCATTGGATCACATAATTGAGTTTCTTCATTCCCTTCCTTTGGCTCAGCCATTTCAATGTACATATTTAGAGTTTTTAGGTCCTTTTCCTACTGTCCTCTTTTCCTGGATCATTTGGTGTCTTATTGGTAGAAGGCCTTACAAAAAATGTGACCCAGCAAAAACACGCAAAGTACAATCACACAAACGAGTGTAATGCAGGATGTTGTGGAGAATTGCAGCACGGTGTGTGTCTTCACGCTCTTTGTTATAGTTCCCTGAAAATGCAATTAGTGCTGCTCATCAGACAGGTTTTGAGTGAGCTATGTTGTCCACCAGGCTCACTGTGGAAGGTGGTGGACTGTGACTGAATCATACCCTAGTCACCTTGGTCATTGACTGTGGAAGTAGTTATTTTTAAGTTGCCATACCTTTTCATTTTCATGCCATGCCTTTTGTAACCTCTTTTGATCACATTTTTAGCATGTTAATGAACCTGATTGCTATCTTTATTGATAAAATACGTGGTAATCAATAGTTTGTTATTGCTTTCCCCCATAGAAGTGTTTTATTATCCCACTCTTCTACTGTTTCTTCTTTCTCATCCTGCAGTTTGTAGAGACATTAAACAACTCCCCTTCCATGCTAGAAGGTTCTTCCCAGCGGGGTCGTCCACGGGCTTCCCTTGCTTCACATCCCCTCCAGGACAGTGCACACCATTCCTGGGACTTCCTTACTGCTATTAATCAGCTCACAGACCTGTGGAGATCAGCGGGAACTTAGCAGCCTTTCCTCCCATCGCCCACACCACTGAGGTTTGGGCGAGGCAACAACCATGCTCAGGGGTGTTCATGTGGCCAGCAGGCAAACCCAAGCCACAGCTGACTCCAGATCTTGGCTCATCCGTACACTGTAGCTGCTGTCTTGCCTCTTGCTCTGTCATTCACTGCATGCCTTATTTTAACAGTTCTGTAAGATTTTTTTTCTCCCAGGATATTTGATTTAAGAACAAAAATTTCTAGCTGTCTAGCTCAGTTCTTTTCATTTAAATACAGGCCTTTGAAATAAAGCCTTTCTAGGATGAATCCAATTTGACCTCAGTGTTGCAGATGAAAACATACCTATTGGTTTTAAGTTTATACCGCGCCACACATTCCTAGCTTTGTGCCAACTCATCCATTTTCTCTCTCAGCCAGACTCCTTTAATTTGGCAGTATTTCACAAAATGGCCCTATGTCCTGTCACTTACTTGGGCTTCCACGTCTGTCAGCTTCCGCGTCTGCTCGGCTGTCTGGTTCAGCAGGTTGGTGCCTATCTCTATCATCACCGCCGTCTGGTTCTGCACCGCGTGCTGCTGCATCTCCGCCATCTCCTTCTTCATGTTGTCTTGGATGTAATTCTCCAGCTGGAAAAGGCCATCAGTCCAGGGATGAGAAACTTGTTCCCAGTCTGTGGCATCTCTCCCTGTCCTTTACGGAAGTGCAGCAAGGGACTGTGCCTTGCCCTGGCTTTAATATCTTGCTGGTGGGTTTTGATTTTGCTTTTATCACTAGCAGTAGAACATAGTATTAGTTTATTCCTGTTTGAAATCAAGCAACAGGAACAGCACAGATCAGAGACGAGCTGTTTATTGTGTCAGTGCGCCTGTGGGAGTTCACCCCATGCTAGGCCCTGCAGCGTGAGGATCAGAGGGTAGGACTCCTGGGGTCTTGCTGCCTGGGTGTTGTGTCTGTTCTGCCATCCTCAGCCCTGTTTGCGTTGTACAGTAAATGACAATCTCTTACTGAGAAACATCACTGTGTCTGCCCCAGTCTAGACCACCTTTCTCAAGGCAGACTGTGGAAGTCTGAAAACATGATTTTCTCTATATCCGACAGTCACTACTGAGTTCACACTCCCACCTTCCTTCGGGTTGAGTGTGTTAGCCCAGTTCACCTGACCCTGACATGCATACACTCTTCACTGCTCACATAAGCCTTTGATCCTACCCGGCTCCATCCGCCTGTCAAGCAGCACTAGGACTAGCTGCTGTGCTTGGAGAGGTCTGTGCTCAGAGGACAAGCCATGCTGGAGTGGGGTTCTCACAGTCATGTTGCAGGGGGGTTGGTGGGAGATCATTGGGTCATGAGATAGCCACCCTCAGAAGGGGCTGTGGTGCCCTGAGGCCTGACAGTTACCTCACAAGCAGAATACGTATGTGTGTCACGCACGGTCCCTCTGCCTCCCCGCCACGGTGCAGGTGTGTGCCATGGACGTTCCTCTGCCTCCCCGCCACGGTGCAGGTGTGTGCCACCACGTTCCCTCTGCCTCCCCGCCACGGTGCAGGTGTGTGCCACCACGTTCCCTCTGCCTCCCCGCCACGGTGCAGGTGTGTGCCATGGACGTTCCTCTGCCTCTCCTCCACGGTGCAGGTGTGTGCCACCACGTTCTCTCTGCCTCCCCGCCACAGTGCAGGTGTGTGCCATGGACGTTCCTCTGCCTCCCCACCACGGTGCAGGTGTGTGCCATGGACGTTCCTCTGCCTCCCCGCCACGGTGCAGGTGTGTGCCATGGACGTTCCTCTGCCTCCCCGCCACAGTGCAGGTGTGTGCCACCATGTTTCCTCTGCCTCCTTGCCACGGTGTAGCACCACGTGAGAGCCCTCCAGAACATGAGCCATCCTCTGCTGCCTCCCTCCCAGCATCTGGATGAGCAGCAAGCTAAACCACAGCCAGTGGAACTGAATCTCAAATGGGGCGTTTTGATATAGGATGCAAGTGTACAATGGGCTGATATAACCATCATGCCAAACACTGTCTCTAATCTAGTATCTTTCTTTCAAATTTGACACTTAGTACTGACCATTCATTGAGTCAGTCATCAAACGTAATATCTTCTAAAATGCTACCTGATAATAATTCTGTACCTGTACCTCCGAGTAAGTCAGCAGAAGGAAGTGCAGTTTCTCACAGTTGAAGGATTCCCTGTTGGTGCATTTTGTAAGCTGTGCCTCATGGTTAGAGTGTGTGGGCTGCAAGCTTACTGCATCCATTTACCAGTCTATCATCGCCTCTGGCCCTGCTCCTTTCTGTTCCACTTCTCCCTCCACCCTAGCTGTCTTGGGATTGCATGTCTCTCCCCAGTGACTTCTTCCCTTGCTACTGGCATGATCAAGTGTGCATGAACTGTGACTGCTGTCAGAGCTGTGGTCCTTTGTAAAGTCATGTGATTGAAGCCATCACTTCTCCATATGAATCAAAACAGATTAGACCACTGTGAGTGTGTGTGTATAAATATGTGTATGGTGTTTATATAAATATATAAAAGATCATATACTATTAGTTGGATTCTAACAACTATTGCTAATATTGGCTTCATGAAATTTGAAGAATTTGATATCCTTGTTAACTCTAAATAAGATCTGGCTTAGGCTTTTTACTTATTTTTAAAAGGATTCATATTTTTATTTAAAAGATCCAGGGACAGAGAAAGACAGAGATTGTCCATCTATTGCAAATGTCATCAGTGGTCAGGGTTGAACCGGGCCAAAGCCAGGGACCAGGGACTCCATCCTCGTTTCTGGCTTCCCATGTGAGTGGCAGGAACCCAGATGTCTGAGCCCCCGTCTCCTGATTCCCATGTGCATTTGCAAGGAGCTGGATCGGGGGCAGAGCAGCCAGGAACTGGAAGCAGGCAGTCCTATATGGGTGTGGGCATTGCAAAGAGCCCCTCGCCCACTGTGCCGTACCACCCGCCCCCAGATCACAGTGATGCTGTGTGTGACCTCTGCTGATTCCTGCTTTCCTTGACCCTCTTCCCTTCAAACTCAAACTTGCAGGATTAAAATGCACTGTTTCAACCATGAGCAGAGATTTGTAGCTCCCCGCCTCCCACATCGCCACAGGAGTGATGGAATTCCTGAGGCTGAAGATGTGTGGCAACCAGAGAAGTTGTCTTAGTAGCTTGGTTACCATTAACACCCAGCAAAGTTCATATTTAGAAAGATTTCCATAAAGATGCTCCTGAGCTACAGCTTAGCTCCAGTCTATGCAAAGAGCATGCTTTATAAACTAGTATAAACAAAAAGGTATAACCTTTTAGTGCTTACCAGCTAAATTAAATTCATTGAATATATGTCCCTATAAATCATGCAAATAGAAGGGAAAAATTACCCCCCCCCAGTCGCTGCCCCGCATGTGTCCAGGTAGTGGGTCAGATGTGGCTACAACATAAGGAGTTGTAAAATTATTGGATCTGAAGATACTCAGCTTAGAAAACTTTGGCATTAATGTTATTGGTTCCCTGTCTTGAGGAAACTTGGAAGCCTCTTTAACGTCTGCTGACAGATAAGTGGCCAGACTGGGCCTCCCGACCCTCCTTGTAGATTTGTTTCCGTGTGTGTGTGTGTGTGTGTGTGTGTGTGTGTGTGTGTGTGTGTGTGTGTGTGTGTGTGTGTGTGTGTTAATTCAAAGACTGTGCTGCCTCAGCAGTTGGGCACTCAGCAGCATTGCATGGGAGATGCTGAGATGAAAGGAGATGAGCCTGGGAGATGCATGTCTCGGACAAACCTTTGTCTTCTCCAGATGCCTGCCAGAGCCTCAGGATACACACATGGGGCAGAGATCATGCTCACGTGTAGCTTAAGTAAGGAGGGGTGTTCCATATACTTTGTATTGATGCCAGGCTGGGATTTATTTAACCTAGAAAGGTGCATGTCAAGGCCACTTGCCTTGCACTAACGGGGTTTGTAATTTTGTCCTTTCTTCCCTTTGTAATTTTGTCCAAGGCAACACAGGAAGGCCCAGTGGGGACACAGCAAAGGAGGCTTGCCTTGTTGCAAGTGGTTTTTTAGGACTTCTTCCTTTGCAGCCCTGACCTCACCCCACCCAACCACGGGGTCCTAACTCCCTCAAAGGATCTTCCAGGCACTTCTAACTTCTAGTTTGTTCAGAAAGATCCTTTTTGTTGTTTGGTCATTTGTGAGTGGCTTTCTGTAGCTGATTCTATGCCATTGTCTACATAGCCAGCCCTGTCCCTGCATTCACTGCACCTCCTGTGGATGACAGCTCTTTGCTCCTACGGTGAAATGCCTAGAGGGGCTGCCCATGGAAAAAGGAAAGGCCTGCTCAGGTTACAGCTCTGGAGTCTCCTAGTACGGACAGCTTGGTGCTGAGACAGAGGCGGGTGGCAGTGGGAGCCGGAGGAGCTGGGATCCTGAGAGCGTCTAGTTGGGCCAGACTCAGGCTTTCGTAGCAACCCTCCCTGCAGAACCCAACGCCGACACAGCTGCCTTCCGAGGGCCTCACTGGCCCAAGGACCTGCCCTGGGCCTACCCACTCAAGGTCCCACCCCTAGGAGTACACCCTGCGGACCAAGCCTTGTTCATTTAAATCTTTAGGGAACCCTCTCCCACCCTCCCCTACTGCTTGTATACAAACCACAGCTAACATCATGACACAGCAATGAACAGAGGCACGGGCCCAGTTTATAGCAAACTCAAGCTGGTCTTCTCCTCCTTATTTAAATGTTACTGGATAATTTGAGGTCCTAGTAGTTCAAAGTGCTGTGGACACACTGTGACCCTCCTCCCCTCAGTTGCTTCTGTCTGTGTGCCTGACTCTGCGTTCCTTTCTTTGCTTCCCCCATGTCATTCTCCCTGCCTCTTTTTATCTTTCCCACACCATCCCTCAAAATCTTCAAAGGAAGATAATTTTCCCATTCAAACATTCTAAACTTTTCCTACTGGCAAATTTTTTTCTAGTCAATAACAACCATTTTAATTATATGTGAGTTTAATGAGGCTACATATAGTATCCTCATATAAATTGTATAATGTTGTCCTATGTCAAAAGGTGTCACACTGGAACAAACAAGGTTGCTACGCATGTATATTTACACACGCATTTGTCAGAGCACCTTGCAGCTTCCTGGCATTTATACAGATAGTGGTGGATACAACATCACAGCCATAAGAGAGGCACATACACTTACTTATGTACACATATGTATATTTACATGTGTGGTTATGATGGTTTATAGATGCATACTTTAATATAATTGTGTACAAAGATACTCCAGAACGTTTGTGGAAAATGTAATTAAAAGCTAAATCCATTTGGATTCAAAACAGCTGAAACTCAAGGCTGTTTTGCAGTCTCTGCCCTTCTTCATGATCGTTTTGAGTCCCTCTCTGTGTGTTCACAGACCCCATTGGCTGCTCACACTGCCTTAGCCCAGGTTTCCCCAAGCGCAGGGCCTGAGACCAGCGTAGGCATGCAGGAAGTTTGTTTAGGAAGTGGTCCCAGAGAGTGGCCAAGGATGACAGACAAAGAAGGAGGGGGACTGGGCTCAGCACGTGGCCTGGGTCCCCACCACTGCGGCTGCTGGGAGCCATGGGACCTTTGGAGGAGCCCTTCACTGAGTGTC